GTGGCCGCGGGCCACTAAACTTGCTATTTTCAGTGTTATAAAAACAAGTAAAAACATATTTTTCTGTTTTGAGCATTTTAAAAATAGAAGTATTCCTCCAAAAAATAAAAAAAAAACATAAATAAAACACAACACGGAAAAGCAAACTTTTTATTGTTTGTTTCCTTTTTTTTTTTTATTTTCAAATATAAAAATAAAAAAAAAATTGATCTCAAACAACCACTTAATTAATTTTCTAGTTATTAATAATATAATAATAATCCACTCGACTTAATTCTGAGTGAGTTGAAGGCAACTTTGAGTTCATCTTAAACCAAGAAAGACGGTTTGCTATGATTTTATGTTTGGTCTAGGGTCCATCTAATCACTAGGTAAGCCTGTTGAGGATCTGATGAAGGAGCTCCTATGCTAGGGCTGGATTCTATAGACCAAGAAAATAAGAGTGTGTCAACCTCATTAAAAAAGAGATCAACATGATTTAAGCACCGTCCAATAATTTGCTCCCATCTCAAAACACTGTGATAAAAGAATACCTTAAATATTAATTAGTAATAGCCTTACTAGCATTGACCTGCGCTTTAAAAGTACAGACAATCAAATCAAATTTAGTCCAGCAAACATTGGAATGTTAGGATAGACATAAGGTAAAAGAAGCATGGAATCCATCATTACTAATAGAGAGTGCAAGACTAAATCCTATTGAAGAAAAAACTAAATATAAATAGACTTGGATCATTTTGTTGCAGAACAAACAAGATTGAGGCAATAAATGGTAAAAAAAGACTAATGTGGAAGAAAATAAAGGAAAGGAACATATCCAAAAGTAGCATAGCAAGCAGATGTGAAAAGAAAATAATTAGCAGTTATTTTGTTTGATTTTTTTAAAATACATGCATTTTAAAAAGATGAATAACTAAAAAGTAAGAGTTATATGTCTAGATGTAAATAAAATACATTAAAACATTTGTTTATGCACTTTTTAAGAAACATTTTAAATGAATTAAAATGCAACAATGACAATCTGATTTGGTGGCGACAACGGGAAGCAATCAATTATGGTGGCGGGCGGCAACAGCTAGTGGAAACAACAACAGTTAGCAGTGGGTGATGACAGTGACCAGAGCTAGCGAGCAATGGCTAGCGACAAGAGGCAGCTAATTGCAGGCGACAAAGTCAACAACAAGAGGCGTTCAAAGACAGATGATGAGGCCATTGACTCTGAGTATTCAAATCATTTGAATTCACCTAATTTCAACGAATTCCAAAGTTGTCCAAAATAGCAATTCTTGGGTTTTTCAAATGAACCCCGCATTTCTTGGGCTTTTCAAATGAACCCCTATACAAATCATTTTCATTTAACTACTTCAAAACAAATGCCGAAAAAATTAAATCCCCAGCTTTTCTTCTATTTTAAACTGATAGTATTTGCAACCAAGCAACCCCTCAAAATAAAAATAACCCAGCATATACGTGTATAACTAAAGAAATATAAGAGGGCTTATTCTTATTGATGCAAAGAGAGGTAAAAATACTCATTACAGGATTTACAGGTAAGGAAAGCAATAAAAACAGGATACAGTAGACAATTAAAGGAATAATAAAAAATATAAGAGACAGCTAATCTTCCTAATTAAGGAGAAAATAAATAGTAATTCCTAAGATCACTTATATAAATCATAACCCACTAAATATAGAGCATAACAAATATAGAATAGAATCCTAATTATTTTCGAAATCATTCAACACTCCCACTCAAGCCGGCATGAAGATGACACTCATGGCAAGCTTGCTAATTAGATTCTTGTGTTGCACTTTGGAAAGGCTTTTGTTAGTATATATGTTGTTTGGCTAGCAGTGGGTATGTATCACATACATATCATACCACTATCTATCTTCTTCTTGATGAAATGTTTGTCAACTTCTACATGTTTTGTGCAGTCATGTAGAACTGGATTATTAGCTATACAGATTGCAGCCTTGTTGTCACAGTAAACTTTAACAGATGTTAGTGTAAGAATCTTCAACTCTTCCAGGAGTCTTTTTATCCATATTTCACAGGGTCCATGTCTCACCGAGTGGAATTTTGCTTCAGCACTACTTCTTGTCACCACACTTTATTTTTTACTTTTCCAAGTAACCAGATTTCCGCCTACAAAGGTATAATAACCTGATGTGGATGTTTTATCATTTACATCTCTTGCCCAATCTGCATCAGTGTGGGTCTCTATTAGAAGATGTTCTCCCTTTTTGAACAAAAGTCTTTTTCTAGTATTCTTTTGAGGAATCTCAAAATTCTGAATGCAGCTTCGAAGTGAGTAGGTCCAGGTGAATGCATGAATTGACTCACAACACTCACTGCAAGGGCTATGTCACGTCGAAGGTGAGCCAAATAGAATAGTCGCCCAATCAATCTTTGATAGCGTGCTTTGTCCATTACCTCATTAGCTACTGTTGTTTTCAACTTTATATTAGGTTTAATTGGAGTATTTGTTGTTTTGCAACCTGTCATTCTTGTTTCTGAGTAAATCAAGGGCATACTTGCGTTAATTGACAAAAAATTCCCTCTTGGATCTTGCAAACTTCATTCCGAGGAAATATTTCCTCTTTCCCAAGTCTTTAATACATATTAAATTTGGCTTCAATTTTCCTCTTCAAGTTGCTAATCTCCAGAGAGACATCCCCTGTCATGATTATGTCATCTACATATACAATCACAATGGTTACTTTATCATTGATGGAATGTTTGAAAAAGAGAGTGTGATCAGCTTGGCTTTGAGAGAATTCATGTCTCTTGATAACATCACTAAAACGCTCAAACCAAGCTCTAGAAGACTGTTTTAACCCATACAGAGATTTATTTAATTTGCACACTTAACATTTTCCAAATTTTTCTTCAAATTCGGGTGGCAGTTCCATATATACTTCTTCTCGCAATTCTCCATTTAAAAATGCATTCTTTGCATCAAATTGATGAAGTGGCCATTTAAAGTTAAGTGCAAGAGAAATAAATACTCTAATAGAGTTAATTTTAGCAACAGGAGCAAACGTCCCTTGGTAATCAATACCATGAGTTTGAGTAAATCATTTTCCTACTAGTTTCGCTTTGAATCTCTCCACAATTCCATCAGCTTTAAAATTCATCGTGAACACCCATTTGCACCCAACCGTCTTTTTTTCTTTAGATAGATCAATGACTGTCCAAGTATTATTTCTTTTAAGAGCATTTATTTCTTCCATCACAGCTAATCTACAACTCAGTTCACCTAATTCACCTAATGCTTTCACCTAATGTTTCCTGAATAGTTCTTGGAACAAGCATATTAGAAATCCTAAAGACAAATGCTCTATGATTTTTTGATAGTTTTTCATATGAAAATTATTGTGTGATAAGATGTTTCGTGTTTGTTTGGATACTTTTTCCGAAAGCAACTGGAAGATCCAGATCAGAAGAAGTGGAAGTAGAGGGAAGGTTAATCTGAGTTGTAGGGTCATTATTCGGCAAAAGTGTTTGAACATCTGCTGAGGAAATAACTGGGGTCGTAGTAACTTCATGGAATTTCTTCCTAGTATAAACCTGCAACTCATGTTGAGAATTATGATCCACTATATTATGACTTGTTGGAAGTACTTGTCTCCCTGTCTCTGATAAGGTAACATCTGGCAAAACAGGATTAGTAGTGCTGATCTTGGTTTTCATATCAGAATTAGTTAAAGAAATGGTTAAAGTTTCCCAAAAATTATTTTCTTCAACTAAGTTTTCTTCTATTTTCTTCAACTAAGTTCTCCCCCTGAAGAAAATTATTTTGAAAAAAGAGTGATCCTTGACAAACTTGACATTCATGCTCTCAAAAAATTTCTTTGTGACAGGATTGAAGTATTAGTACCCACATTTATTGAAAGCATACCCGATAAAACACATTTTTCATCTTTGGGATCAAGTTTTGAGCGAAACACATTTGGGACATGCACATGACAAATACATTCAAAAAATTTTTAAAGGAATATCAGTTGTTATCTTAGATGTGAAAAAATAATTTTTTTTAAAATTTGTAAAAAATTTTTAAATTTCAGAACTTGAGATAACATTTTGTTTATTAAATAACAGGAGATAAGAAGTGCATTACCCCAATGATATTTAGGAACATTCATGGAAAACATGAGTGTCCGGGTAACTTCAAACAAATGTCTATTTTTAAATGACTATTTTTCCTTTCAGCAATACAATTTTGTTGTGGTGTGTCACAACAAGTGCAATAAATAACAGGTTTAAGGTTTAAAGGAAGATCAGCTGTTATCTTAGATGTAAAAAAATAATTTTTTAAAACTTATAAAGTTGTTTTAAATTTCAGAACTCAAGATAACATTTTGTTTATTAAATAACAGGAGATAAGAAGTGCATTACCCCAATGATATTTAGGAACATTCATGGAAAACATGAGTGTCCGGGTAACTTCAAACAAATGTCTATTTTTCCTTTCAGCAATACAATTTTGTTGTGGTGTGTCACGACATGTGGATTAATGCAGAATACATTTTTTCCAAAATAAATGTTCTCAAATATTTGTTGAAATATTCGGTTTCATTATTCGTTCTTAGAATGTCAATTTTTGTTTGAAATTGATTTTCAATTATGTGGAAAAAATCTTTAAATCATTATTCAACTTCAGATTTTTTTTCCAATAAATAAACCCAGCAAGCTCGTGTGTGATCATCAAGAAATGTTACAAACCATTTTTTTTCAGAAAGTGTGTTAACTTTGGATGGACCCCAAACATCACTATGCAACAAATAAAATGGTTTTGAAGAGGAATATGATTTTATTGAAAACGAAGCACGATGATTTTTAGATAAATTAGACATCTCACGGTAAAGTTTTGAACAATCAATATTTTTAAATAGTTTAGTAAATAAAAATTTGAGATATGGAAAGCTAGAATGTCCTAATCTTTTATGTCATAACATAACTTGTCCTAGTCAAAGCTTGAACTTGTACTACCTAATCCATGAGTTATTTTATTCGCAGAATCAGTTCCATCATAGTAGTACAACCCATTTATTTCTCTAGCAGTTTCAATAATCTTCCACAAGTTTTGGTCCTGAAAAACACAATTTGAAGAAGAAAAAAGAATGGAATAATCAAAATCTTTAGACAATTTGTAACGGAAATAAGATTACATACAAGTTTTGGAACATGTAAGACAGATTTCAAAGAGATTTTTTCTGAAATTTTAATATTTCATTTTCTTGCAATAGGAGAAAAACTGTCATCAACTATTCTAATTTTTTCGGAACTGGAACATGGATAAAACATGGATAATACAACATGGATAATACGAATCAAATAATTGAGAACAGCTTGTCATATAATCATATGCTCCTGAATCAATGATCCAAGGAGTGGTACTTCCTAGAACAGATAAAGCCAATGGATTACTACATATTTGTGCTATAGAACCGATAGCAGTTTAAGAAGATGACTTAATTGCTCTTTAGTAATTTGGGATGACTCATCCTCATTTGTTGTGGGTGTGATATGTTCACCAATTTTTTTCTCTTACCATTAGATGGTTTACCATGCAATTTCTAGCATTTTTTGCAAGTATGACGTGGTTTTCCACAGAGTCACATTTCAGATTGCTTTTTGTCTTCTACACGCTGATTGTGAGAAGTTTTCCTGCTTACTTGAGCTTCCGGAAAAGAGAGTGTTGATCCTTCCACGGACACGGTTAAACCTACAGCCTTCTTCCCCAACATCACATGTCTCCAAATCTCCTCTCCTTACCTCCGTCCTTCCCTCCGTAAAAACTTCACCAATTGGAGGCAGAGGATTTCTTCCGATTATTCGGCCACGGACCTCATCATGTTCAATGTTTAGACTTGCAAAAAATTTGAAGATTCGGTCAGTATCCACTATCTTCTTGTACTTATTGCAACTATCGTTTAATTTCCACTCATAATCGTTGAATAAGTCCAAGTCCTGCCAAATTCGCTTAAAAGAATTTAAACATTTTGTCACAATATCCTCATTTTGGCAAATTTCCCCAAGTCTTAGAGTCAACTCGTAAACTTGGGATTGATTTCCAAGATCATAGTACATTTTTGAAGCATTGTCTCATAATTCTTTGGTTGTAGAGTAACACAGAAAATTTGCACTTATCTCTTCAGTCATAGAATTGACCGACAATGTCATTACCATTGAGTATTTTGCACCCCAAATGACATAAGTTATGTCATTCACGTCAGGTTGCTTAGTATCACCGGAGATACATGTGAGCACATTGTGACCATTGAAGAAAATTATCACCATTTAGTCGGAATGTAGTGATCTGAATGGGATGGTTTTCAGAGGAATGTAGTGATCTGAATGGGATGGTTTTCAGATGTATTTCTCTGAGGTTCGGACTGAGATGGCTGAAGAGGCTGGCTTGTCCTAGACGGGACTTCAGACATTTTATAAATGAAGAATGGAGGGTGCAGTAGGATCTCGAAATTCGCCCACCGAAGCAAAAGATTACCACCTTCGTCGTCGAAAGGACTTCGAGAAGCGGAATCGCTTCGTCCACCACGCGCGCGATCCTTGCCAGCGAGACGTGATCCTCTCATTGCCTTCCCAGCGATCTCTGATCGCAATTGCTTCGTGACGAAGAAGCAGAAGAAAGGAAAGGCTGAGTTTCGGGTCTCTGCGCCAATCACGATCCCGACTACTAGTTATATCGATCACCGCCGCAAGCTCTAGCATTTAGCGATCTTGCTCAAAGGAAGACGCCGCTGCAGATCGGATGCTATTGTAGCCGCCGCAAGCTCTAGGGTTTAGCGATCTTGCTCAGAGGAAGACGCCCCTGCGGATCGGACGCTCTGATACCAATGACGAAATATAAGAGGGCTTATTCTTATTGATGCAAAGAAGGGTATAAATACCTATTACATAATTTACTGATAAGGAAAGCAATAAAAGCAAGATACAGTAGACGAGGAAAAGAATAATAGCAAATATAAGAGGCAACTAATCTCTTTAATTCAGGAGAAAATAAATAGTGATTCCTAAGATCACTCGTACAATTCATAACCCTCTAAATATAGAGTATAATAAATATGGAATATAATCCTAATTATTTTCGAGATCTTTCAACAATAATACTAACTGGGTGAAGTATAACTCATAGAGCCAAAACAAGTAGTTGGAAAAGGTGGATCAAAAAAGATAGATGGGAAGTTCAGCTATGTTAATTGTCTGCAACTTTATAAGTTTAACATTCTTTATACAAACAACGCCAATTTTGCAGATCTGTGTAGATTTCAAATATTACACATTGATTAATCTTTAGCAATGTACTAGAATACTTTCTCCTTAAAAAATATAAATAAGCCAACCACAAAAACATAGAGAAAAAATGTCAATTGTTGTATTTTATAAGATATACAGCCAAATATTCCAAAACAAACTTAGCAACAGAAAATGATGTTCTACTTACTCGATAAGAAAGTTCAATGAAAATTACCATCTCAAAATAAGTAAAGACCCTGCATCTGCATATCCAAAACATCATCACAAAACATATGTTCATACAAAATAGTAAAATAGCAAGTTTATGAGGAACTTTTAAATCCAAATTAAAACAAAATATGTGTGCACTGGAAATAGAAGGAAAAAAAAACCTGCATGAAATGCCCGTGCCCAAGCTTTATAGATAGAAGGACGAAGCCGTACCGGAATGTCCTGAAATTAAGCCCAACTTAAGAAAATTCAGAAAAGGACACTTCTACTCAGCAGATGATAAAGGTTAAGACTCTGGACACTATATATTAGACAGTAATTTATTGATAAACCAGAAATTAAAAATATAGCGTGTAGACAATGAGCAATAAATATAAAAAAAGCAATAGAATATAAACTATGTACCATAAATATAAAATAGCCAATTAAACTTGCAATATGAATACATAGAAACCTGTTAGAACGGCACATACTAATAATTGTAAGGATGCCAATTTGAACAACAGAAAAAACATGATTAAAACATGCAAAATCACTTTTTATTCCAAATTTCCTATTGAAAGTACACCAATTTCTTATTAGGCAAATTTAACCATTACTGATCAATAAGTCGCATAAATTACATGCAATGTTTATTACAAAAAAGTACAAAGTACTAGGAGTCCTTGTTGTTTTTTATTTGTAGAAAGGGTGGGGATTTATATAGGCATGTCTAAAAGTTTTAAAAAAAAATCAAAGCAAATTAGTCATTACAAAAAATTATGTGGGAATCAATCCTCCCATAAAGGCCAACTGCCTTAGGGATCCACGAGAAAGCAAACGAAAGGCTACAAAGGACTTTTAATCTAAGTGTCAAAATCTTAATTCATGTACACCGGAGGCTCGGCCTTTGATTGGATAAAAATGAAACGTGTGGGGGAAAAGTAGCAACAAGTCCTATTGGCTTCAACGCTCCCGCTAAAACTAGATAGTATAGGTCAGTTAAATGTTTAAAATTATGCAATTAGATATTGAGACATTTTCGATTCAAGAGATGAGGCATAAGCCATGACGTGTATAAGGAATAAGCATCACAGTTTGAAAATTGCATAAACCAAAATAAAGAGAAAAAATAATATATTCACATCATAACTTATAGATATATATATATATATATATATATATATATATATATATATATTAACATTCTGCATAATAAAAAGTGGCAAAATGTGTTTATATAAAATAATAATTTGTAGAAGCTCCAAAATATCATGTAATAATCTGCACAAAACAAAAATATAATGTAAACATCAACTCATCAAACTAACATAAATCATAAAATGAAAGTAACAAAAAATATCAAAGTAAATATTTTAAAATATATTTACCATAATAGACTTCTCTCACTCTTATTATCCAACCAATTTAATAACATCCATAGGTCTAAATAAGAATATAATAAATAATCAACACTCAAAACTACAGGTGACAACGGCGATGACAACAATAGTAAGATTAACTGATGGAAGTAGCAAAAGAAGCAAGCAGTTATTGCACCAGAAGCAGCGAGAAACAGCAGTGACAATGGTAAAAGCTGAAGAAGTGAGAGATGGTGGTGGCGCAGGTGGCAAAAGTAACAGGTCCCGATGTTAGATGCCCAATAGGGGAGAGGGGAGCACTTGCATGTGAGGGTGTGGGCTTGATTTGTGTTTGAACCGTCTCGGATATGAAATAAAAGTAATAATAATAATAATAATAAATCTAAGCACGAGAGGTGCACACCTCGGCAGAATTGAAGCAATATGCATCTTGAGGCATGCCTCAATCCATGTGAGGAGCACGCCTCACCCCTGCTCAAAGCATACACTTTAAAGTGTTTTCTTCAAGAATTGTGTTGAGGCGGGCCTTAAGGCGTGCCTCAAATTGTGCAATTTTAAGCCGTGGAACAATTATTCTAAGTCCTTTGACAAATATGTCAACAAATTGATTTCATGTTGGCACGTATGGGGTGAAGATCAGTCCAGTTTCCTGATTCTCCTTTCGGAAGTGTTTATGAACTTCCACAAGTTAGGTGCGATCATATTATATTGGACTGTGTGTAATATTGATTACAGAATTATTTTCACAGCACATCTTCAATAGTTATTTCACTTGACCTTTACATTGTCCGATCTGATCTTGATCCATAGAAACTCGCAGATGCTTTAAACAGTTGCCCTGAATTCAATTTCAGCATTGGATCCTAATACAATAGGTTAATTCTTGCCCTACAAAACTATGACATTTTATCCCAATAAAAGACAATATCCTGAAGAGCATCGTTCCATTTTCTGACTACAATGAGGGCAAGCCGAATAAGTATTCAAATCATAACCCCCAGCTGCCACCAACATGGCTAATACATCAATGATTTCCTGACTACCGTAAGAATTAGCGGCCAGGTCAATGGAGAACAAATAGAAATTTTACAGAGAAATATTCAGTCTACTTTTGCCAGATATTTTAATCAGTTATGAAGAGATGGCGTTGACGTAAAATCATTCCATTTTTTAGGAAGGTGCCACAGTATTCGTAGATTTTTAGATCACATTATTGAAGAAAAAATATCTCAAAAGAAAAGGAGAGTGAAGAGATGTTATTCATTTGAAAGTATGCGAGCAAATAACCTCGTGTCTTTTCAGAAGCTTGAAATATGACAGTTAAGGCAACGAAAAGTTCTAAACTATTGAGTAACAAGTGAAAATGCCATAATCAAAAGCTTGACATTTTGATAACTTTATGATGTCAGTGTTTTCTGAAGGAGAGATAGAAGTGATTGAATTTTTTCATGGGCAGTGACCTAGAAGCAAAAGGCCCGCAAGGACAGGAGACAGTTAATACCATTAAGTTTGATGTTGGCATCAATAGTTGAGGGGATTGACTCATTGAGATAAGAGTGAGAAGCCGTAGTATTGTTTGGAAAAGAGAGGAGAGCCTTAAAGTCAACTTAAACCATCAGTCGTGGATTTTTAAGCCATAAAGGTTTGGTCTAGCTGTAGCAAGTGCATGCAGCAAACACCGCAAGAATGCGAACGCATAATGAAAAAAAGTTTTGCAAAAGCAACACTCAATCTAGTGTGGCGAGCATAGGCAAATCTGACAAGTCAGAATCGAGTGCTCGATCGCAACAAGTCTCAATCAAGCACAACGAGCGAGCTTATATGTCAAGCGAGTCAGCATGATGCACCGAAGTGCAAGCGAGTGGGCAAAGCTATGCCAGGAGACATTTGTGGCCTATGGAAACAGTTAAGCAAAGTGATTCACAAGCAAGAAGTTAGGTGTGCGGGTTACATGAAAGTTCTGGGGTGGTGTGTGGGACAGAGAAAAAGGAAGTGGCAACTAGGATTTAAAAGTGTGACAAGAGGGAAAGAACTCAAGGAGACCTTAATTTAAAACTGAGTTGAAAAAGAAACTCATTCATGTGAATTGACTCGGATCAATTGCCAATTAATAGGCATGCATGATTAACACAATATGAAGCATAAATTGGGGATGTCCTCAATTAAGTAGATATAGAAACGTAATAAGAACATATCTCCTGATATTTGCACTTTCAGGATACAGCACTAGCCAATCTAATAATTTTCCTATATAAGTTGTAGAACAGTGGTGGGATTCTTAAGTAGGATAGATTTGAAGAGTTATGTGGATGATGGTGGCTTGGAATTATAGGGTGCTGGGCTTGGCTAAAGCTAGAGATCTAGGTTGGCAAAGAGCAAGAGGGTGAGAAAAGAAAAAACATAAGACTAACCTACTGAAGATAGCTTGAAGTCCTCACCAAAGAAACTTCAAGCAATCATGATGAATTTTTTAACTCTCACATAAGACCGTTCCGGGAGAATAATGGAACCAAGAGGTGGAGAAAAGAGAAAATATAATACTAACCTACTGAAGATAGCTGAAGTCCTCACCAAAGAAACTTCAAGCAATCATGATGAATTTTTAAACTCTCACATAAGACCGTTCAGGGAGAATAATGGCACAAAAGCCAACTTCAAATTAATTGAAGTCGATCAATAATCTTATTTTTAGGAAATTCCAAGGAGAAGATTGCCCCAAAAGTCAACTTCAAATTAATTAAAACTGATAAAAAAAATTTATTTGTTTATAATGGTTTAGTTTAGGGCTACAAAGTGCCTGTTTATTTAGAAAATCATATTAAAAATCATAAGAAATACAAGGGTAAACAACCTAAGAATTTAAGGAATGTCTTAATCCCCTCTTTGACTACACTGTTTAGCAGCGTTGAGATTTAGAATAGACCAGCTTACTTTCATTGATAGGATGAGGGTTATTTAAACCCAATTACAATAGGCATAATAATGAAAACAGCAAAAATAGAATAAAATAGCTAGAAAAAAAAAGCATAAAATAGAACAAAATAAAAAAAAGAAATACATATTCAGGGAATAAAATCAAATAATAAGTAATAATGACATAGGCCGTTATAATCTAATGCTCCCTGAAGTTGAAACATGGATGTCAGTCATGTTCAACTTGGATTTGAGTCATTGAACAAAGGGTGAGGCAGATTCTTGGCGATAATATCCGCTAGTTGACCACTGTAGGGCAGATATGGAACATAAGTCTCCCCGTACTATATCTTTTTCTTAATGAAGTATTTGTCAATCTACACATATTTGGTACAATCATGCTGGACTGGGTTATGCGCAATGCTGATGGTGGTCTTATTATCACAGAATAGTTGCAGTGAGACATAGGTTGGCATACAAAGTTCACGAAGCATGATGTGCAACCAAAGAGCTTAACAGATTCCTAAGGACATGCATCGAAATTCATCTTCAGCACTGCTTCGAGCGACTACTGACTGTTTTTTGTTTTTCCACAGCTTGCTCCATACAAATGAGCAATAGCCCGAGATGGAACGTCAATCATGAACTCATCCAGTCTAATCAGCATCTATATAAACAGCAATAAACCGAGAGGTGTGGTGAAAAAAGAACAAACATAAGTCGGTGTATCTTTTAAGGAGTGAAGAACCAGATGGACAGCTTGAAGGTGGTGCCCATGCATGAATTGACTCACTATTCCAATTGCGTGGCATATGTCGGGGTAAGTATAAGTCGAGTTTTCCCATAAGGCACTGGCAATGAGTTATGTTGGCAGATACAACATTGATAATGTCAGATTATTTTTCCTTGTGATTAATAGAAACAATAACAGGTTTGCACAGAAGAAGATTGTTCTCTGTCCGAAGATCAATCACATATTTGCGCTGAGACAGGCAAATTTCCTGAGAGGATCGGGACACTTCCATGCCTAAGAAATGCTGGAGAGATCCCAAATCTTTCATCTCGAAGGACGAAGAAAGAATGTCATTTAAGGACTAATGTTGGAAGATCGTTGCCTGTAAGAACAATATTGTCAACATAAACAATAAGAATAACTACCTTGAAGGAGTGTCGGAAGAAAAGTGTGAAAGATTGAGCCTGAGTAAAATCATGGCCCATGACCACCTTCGTGAACATGTCAAACCAAACCCTTGGGGACTGTTTTAGCCCATAAAAAGACTTTTGCAGCATGCACATTTGTTCTCTAGAGGGAGTACAATCAAAACCCGGAAGAAGAGACATGTATACTTCTTCAATCGACTCATCATTCAAGAATGCATTCTTGACATCTAGATAGAATAAAAATCAATCCATATTTACCGCAAGTGATAATAGAACTCAAATAGTATTTAACTTAGCCACTGGAGCAAATAACGCATCATATTAAACTCCGAAGGTTTGTGAGTATCCTTTAGCAACCAATCTTGTCGTGTTGCGTTCAAATGATCTGTCAAAGTTGAACTTGCTGATAAAATCTATTAGCGCCCAACAGCTTTTTTATCCCGAGAAAGGACCACGACGTCCCACGTATGGTTCCCCTAAAAGACATTCAACTCCTCCATTAATGTCATTTTCCAGGCTGGATCAATAAGAGCAACCTCAATAGTAGCAGGGATCTAATGGTCCGTCAGGGAATGGCAAATGTTCTATAGGTCGGCAATAAACCGTGGAAAGACAAATATTTTGCAATAAAATAGATAGAGCATGATTGCGTACCTTACTTGAAGAATTCACCTCCTCATTCGGATGAGGGGTTATATTGAGGATGTTGCCCCGAGTGGAGTCAATGTCCTCTAAGGAGGTAGCGAGCTCCTGAGTTAGAGCATTGAGATGGGTGCGCCGAGTGTAGACACGGATAGTTGGAGCAGGAAATAGTGCACTCAATGGGACAGGGGACTCCTTAGTGATGGGAACAATGAGAGGACCATCCATAAGAGTAGGATAAGGGACAGTGCCAGGGAACTCAAGCTCCTCCTCACTAGAAATCGAGCTAGAAAAATAGGGAAGATTATCAAAGAAGATGACGTCGGCATTCACATAAATTTTGCTTGTGGTTGAATTAAGGCATTGATACCCCTTTTGAGTTGTGGAGTATCCAAGTAAGATAAATTTTATGAATATTGAATTAAATTTACTCTGAATAGGGGCAGTGTTACCAAAAAAGGCAGTGGCTCCAAAAAATTTTGGGATCTAAAGTGGAGAAGACTCGATTGGCAAGGAAGCATGACATCAGGACAGTTAAGGGGGTTCAGAATTTAGAATTTTGGAAGGAGATTATTTAGGAGATAGGTGGCAGTTAGAACGGCATCATTCCAAAAATATTTCAGGACATTTGATTGAAATATAATGGAGCGAACAATATAGAGGAAAGATCGATTTTTCTCTCGGCAACCCCATTTTGTTGAGTATTCACACAAAACCTATGGTGGAGGATATCTTTACTTAACAAGAATTCATTCAAAATAGTTAAAAACACACGGCCATTGCTGGCCTAAAGGACCTGAATAAGAGATTTTAATCGAGTTATGACAAAGGAGTAGAAGTTCTGGAAGGTCACATCAATTTTCGATTTGTCTTTTAAAATATAGACCCACGTCATTCAAATGTGATCATCAATTAAGGTCAAGAAAAATCATTTATTGGTGTTGCTAGGAGTGAGAGAAGGCCTCATATCACTGTGGATGAGGGAGAAATGAGCGGAAGGTGTGTAAGCGTGAGGTGGGTAATGGACCTGGTGATGATTGGCTAACTGACATGTCTTTCAATTGAAGTTAGAAAAAATTTATTAAAAACCATCAGAAGCATTTTTCAAATATTAAAAACTAGGATGCTTTAAACGACAATGTAATAAGATAATGGGGCAGTTAATGACTCCAGATAAACAAAAACTTTTGAACGTCGTGTCTTCACTCTTCATTTTTTTCTCTTGGAAGTAGTAGAGTTCAGCTACCCTCTTAACAGTTCTAATCATCATTCCCGAACGACGATCCTGAAAACACAAACATTAAACGAGAAATTAGCAACGCAATCGATAATACTTGTCAACTTGTTAGCTGATAATAAGTTACATTGAAGTCGTGGAACATATAAAACAGACTTTAAAGTTTGATCAGTCGTTGGTATAATCGACAATTTACCATAAATTGAGCTACAGGATCCATCGACAATTTTGACGGTACATTTTTCAAGAGCACGAATAGTAAGTTGAGAAAGCTTGCGAGCAACCAATCATGTGATCTTAAATCAAAAATTCATGGACTATAGGAGGAATAAACTGAAGGAATGAGAAGAGTACCTTGTTGGACATGGGAAGTCAATGGACCCGCAGAGACTTGATTAGCTCCAAGAAACATGATTAATTGCTACATCTAATTTTTTTAAGGATTTGGAGGATTATGGGATGTTTCGGGTAGAGGTTGATTGAGTCATGCCTGGTTTGACCATCGTCGTGAGTCCCTAGGTAGCAAAGGAATTGGTCGAAGATTTGTACGTCGACATACCATGAAATTTCCAACACTTGTCTCGAGCATGATTGGGTTTGTGACATTAATCACATGTGGGGCGACCGGTCCAAGGATGCATAGATGAGGGTTAAGCACTATCTAAGATCAAGGCTGACGACTTAACTGAAGGAATAGTAGTGTCGAGCATGACAAGTCTCTTGCTTTCTTCCCAATGAATTTGATAAAAGTAGCTCAAGCAAATAGAAGAGGATCCTAACCAAGAATACGACCCTGTACTTCGTCAAAGTCATTGTTAAGGCTAGCAAGGAATTGGTACATACAATCCTTTCTACGATCTTCTCAAAGAGGGATAAGTCGGTCGGAGACTCCCACGTGAAGCCTTAATACAAATCACATTTCATCCATAATGCAACCAAGTCATTATAATATTACGTCACGACCTTTGACCCTTGTTTTGCTTCCCAAATTTTCTTAAAAAGCTCATAGAGTTGGTCAGAATTTCCTACAACGGAGTAGGTATCATGAACAGCAGTCCAGAGAGCATTAGTTGAAGAGAGTAACATGTACGAACGACCAATTGAAGTCTCAATGAAGTTGATCGGTCATACCATGACTATGGAGCTCTCCCCTTCCTCAGCTTTATATGTCAGGTCAGTCTTTGGAGGCTCGCGAATCATACCTGTGAGATGACCGAACTCCACACGTCCTTTGACGAATAAGGACACTGCTTGGGATCATTGGAGGAAGATACTGTCATTCAAATTATGAGTTGTGATCAAGAAATTCATGTTGGCTTCCAGTCCTCAAGCCTGCAACGGAGCGGAGGTTGGAGTCGATCCTCCAGTGAAGTCAAGAATGTCTTCTGAAGATGATTCATTGAAAGAATCAGCCATAATTTTGACTGTACCAAAGGATATGTTATTCGGGTTCTGAGTCATCGATGAATTTCGGTAGAATCACAACAAATGGATACACCTTGTAGGAATTCAAGTAGCAAGACAACTGCAGGAATTTTTCCTATAGAACAGTGGCGCAGGAATTATTCCTGTAGGAATCCACCACATGACAACAGGGAATCTTCAAAGAATAACGGCAAACTACATGGACCCTTTAATGAGACGGACAAAAACCTACAGGTAATAGGGAGGGAGATTCCTTCTGGAATTAAAAAACAATAGACTATAAGGAGATTGCAGATGGACAGGAACCTGACAGACAGAAATCTAAGGTTAGATTTCATCTGGAATTGAAAGTAATTGCAGGGAACAGGAAACTTGTCGGTGGCTGCTTGAACCACAGGATTCCTGCAGTTCGTTGGACCCATCAGAGGAGGTCGTCGGCTAGGAGAAGTAGGTGTAGGTGGCGGCTGCAGGAACCAGAAGAGAAGCTCAGGGGTTGTTGGATCTAGCGTTAGGCTCTAATACCATGTTGAGATTTGGAATAGACAAGCTTGCTTTCATTGATAGGAGGGGCCTTTAAACATAAGTACAATATTAATAATAATGAAAAGCAATAAAAACTGAATAAAATAACTAGGAAAGAAAATGAAATAGCATAAAGTAAGAAAGAAAATACATAAATAGAAAATAAAATCAAATAATAAATAATAATGGCAAGGGCCATTATAATCAAATAAGCATAGTTAAAAAAATAAGACCAGCCATTAAATATAGGAATGGGGGCAGTTAAATATAATAAACATATGATGAAATTCCATAAGGGAGGATTTGATCATGGCATTTAAGGAAAGAGAGTAATGCCAAAATTTCAGCTTATTTTGATTTCTAAAGATGTTTAGTTGGCTAAGCATGAGTGAAACTTGATTGAATCTTGCTTTCATTGATCTTGATCATCAAAAACTAGTCCTTTAATGAAGGAGTTGTATCAACTGATTGGTCTTCATCAAGTCCATGCTTGAACTCAAATTCATATGATTCATCAATAGGACATGGTAACTCACTAAAATATAGTATGCAGAGTAACCAAGTATAATTTAAACTTAGAAATTCCAAGAAAGCCTTAAAAAGGGGATATGGTCAACACAAAGGGAAATGAAATTACTTATCAACTAGCACTGATATTTATTGAAAGTTCACAGATAAAAGAAAAGCACTTACCAAACTTGCAAGATAACCCCAAACGCGAGAGATAGATCGCAATGGCAACAGCCTCAGAAAAGTAGCCTGTTATAACATGGTGGCAAATATGCTTAAAGGGAAAGAAAATTTATGTTAAAACATAACAAAAATCAACTACTAGAATATACATGAATATAGAAATTGTAGCTGCCAATACCTTTACATCGGGTGAAAACTCAAGTTCAATACCTTTCTCCTTCACATCATCAACCTATAATGCACTAACTAAGTTGACCAACAAGAACAAAAAATGAAAGAAATCATAAAAGCAATTTAGTCGTATATGAACTCAAATACTGGTATTTAAATAAAATCCAAGAAAAGTTCTACAAATGCAAGAGCAAACACTAAAAATCTATAATAGATATCCATTTCAAATACATCATAGGAAAGCCATTGCCGTTTGGTAACTATCTCATCGATCGAGTTACATTATTTACATAACTAAAGTGTAATTCTGTATAAATCACTCTAAGTTGACGACATGCATTGTGTGATAGCATCCATTAGAAATGATTTGTGTAAAGATTCAGGCATAATTCTAGTGTAAAGTTACATCATGATAGTACAGCACACCATGAAGTACCGTACAAGCTACATCTATGAAATTTCAATCCCAATTGTTTTGTGAATAAGCATATAATACAACACTAGTCATGATTTAAATCCCACAAACATTAAAGGTCAAAAATAAGAGATGCAAAAAGACTTTTTGAACATAGACTTCAAGATATTTCAATATTTCTTGATTATATACATAAAATTTTATCAATAATTGCTCAAGATGAATGAAGGGAGAAATAATGTTAAATTATTTACACTACTGCTATTTTTATCAAAACATTCTTAAATAATATATATTATATATTATTACATTCTCATAAATATAAATGATTTTGGACACAATAAAATTCTTATCTTAAACATTTGTTGCATCCACAAATTTCAAAGACTTATCTCTTAATAGTACAAATGAATGATCTACACAATTTTTGAATAAATGAATAAATAGTTTTGTCAATTTAATTTGCTTGGGTAAAAAAATTTCAAGAAATGATTAGCAAATCGTATAAGCATTTGAAACAAAATAGTATCCCGTCAAACCCTCTTGTTCCTTTGTGGAATGTTAAAACTTTTTAACCTTCTTTATATTTGGAACTAAGAAATTATTGAATGCATTTAAAAGTTCCAAACATTAGGAAGTACGTTTAAGAAAGTATATTACTCACCTATCATTACCTTCGACGGCTATTTAATATCAGTGGCATTAAAATAACATATTAGTTTCCTTTTATTTCATCCTAGCAACCACCCATTAGTAAAATATATTTTGTATCTTTCCCAGCGACTATCACACATAGATTTTAATATAATACTTTATATGCTACTTTATGCTTCTAAAAATATGAATTAAATTTAGAGATTTAAATCTGAAAATAAGATATAATATTAAAAAAATAAAAATAATATTCTTAAGGAACTACTACATATATAAATAAGAGGCTCTTTTGTAAGTGAGACTAAGGAAAAATTTAATAAAGTCTATTTTGGTTCTCATCTTAATCAAAAGCAAGTAAAATTTTAAGTATGCATTGAAACACCATCCATCTTGAATGATGCGCGTGATCCTTTACAAGCAATAAGGAGTTAACGCGAAAATCCACGATGGGTTCAAAGATTATTGTTTTTTTTATAATAAAATCTATGTGTGTACGTAAGTAGGAGGAGACCAAACCACATAAAAATTGTCGTGTTTTACATTTTAAGTATTTTTATTTCATAATTTTCTATAATATCATAACTCATTTAATTATTTATATATATATATTATAAATGCTCAAGGGATAATTTTATTGAAATTGAAAAGATACATAGAGGTTGTATGAGAGGACCCAAAAAAAGATGTCATGCCCATATGATACATCAGACACTAGCATCCTAAAAGATAAAACATAGATAAAACACAAAAAAATAAAACTTGCAGAAAATAAGTTGTTAGGCACGAGCCAGTTTGTTCTTGTCTCTACCTCTGGTTCTAGGAGCGGAGACAGCTAACAAATTGTTGAGTGTCGTTCTATTACCTGAAGTTACTAGAGTATCATCCATTAAGTACCCAAGCTGGGGTGTGCATTCATTCTTCTTTTTCTTTCTAGATGTGTATACCTGTTATTCCTCATACGAGGACTGGCTCATATGATCAATGTGGTCAACAGATTGTTGGGCATGTACGAGAGAATGAGCCCCCGGCTCCTGACTAGCAGTAACAACATTCTGATTCTGAAGAGATGGTGTCTCTTCAACACCTGATGTATCCTGGGGATGTGGAGCTTCAATGTTATCCTGATTATCGGACTGTCAGCACTAAAAAGTTAGGGGAGTTGCCCGTAAGAAGCTGTCGGTCACCGGAATTGAAATCTCATCACCCGCATAGGAATGACGCTTTAATTTACATATAAATGTAAGTTTAGAAAAATATGAAATCAAACTGACCTCATAATCTTCACAGTTTAAATTAAAGAGCGTTTTACCTCAAATCTTGTATCTATCCAGAGGGATAAACACAAGACTTGAGGATAATGTTCGATCAAATAAACTAAGAAATATATGACGTCCGTTTAGTCTGCGAAACCATTTTATTTGCCAACAAATTCCACTATTTAATATGAAAAATTAAATAGGGTTTATTTTAAGCTGGGTTCGGAAAAGCTTCCTATAGGGGCAAGTCCATATAGTTAATTACATCTTAAACAACCGTAGTTATCTAAGAATACTCTCGATATAAATCAGGAAATATTATCTTCAAAGAGGTTAAAAGGATAGGACTTTTCAACGAAATCAGACAAAGAGGTGTGAAAAAATAATGGTTCAAGTTTGGAACATTTATTATAGAATCCAAAGGAAGAAAAACTAGGGGATGTCACAGATCCGAAGGAGAACCTCGATGACTTCCCAGTCTATCCCTTCGATGACTTCCCAGTCTATCCTATGGTTTGGCTTCAGTTTAGAGGAGAAATTATTCAAGTGTTTTAACCTGCCAACTTTATTTATTTGGGGCTTACACTTGTATGAAACGATCACACAAATAGTTTGAAAGATGTGAGGATTTAGATCGTGACGGACAACCTCGAAATCCTAAAATGAGTTAGGGCTTAGATTGCAGAGTAGAGCTGTACAAATGTCTAAAAGAAAATTTGAGAATTTATGTCGCACCACGCGAACGACCTCAAAATCCTATAGATTGTTGTTTAATTCTAAGGAAGGAATGATTTAGCTGGGGAAGACATGTTCTGCTGTTGAAGATGGTCGTGCTGCCCACCGCGCTAGCTCCAAGTTCCTTGTCGTGACGAGTTTAAGTTTTCTAGAGTGTCAGGTTATGATGTCAAATCAAGCGGCCCAATGGTTGTAGTTTTTAAAACATTCTAGGGGAACAAGTTGAAGTTGTACAGTGTATAGAATGGCAGTAGAGTATGTAGCACAGAACAAGCAGTAGAGTATGCAATAAAGAGAACAGTACAACATGCGGTGTAAAGAAAAAGTAGACGATACAACAGGAAAGTGATTACAATAAAGTAACATGCTGTAAACATAAAGCAAACCTACATACCTGGGGGATCCGCTGTTCCTTAGATGTAGTTGATGCAATCAGGTATAAGCAACAAAATTTGAGGAAGCAGACTGAAATGCTTTATATAGGCGAAGTAAAGAAACATCACCCAGAAATCTCGAAAAAAAAAATCGTCAAAAGACTTGCGACAAGAAAAATGCGAGGAAATCGACAAATTGACGAATCGATGAAAATCGTAGAAAACACGGGAAAATCTCAAAAAAAGACCACGAGCGCTTTTTCCAAAAATCTCAAGAAAACATATGAAAAAGTCTGAAAAGAGGGGACCGCAAGCACTCGGGTCGGGGCTAGGCTCAACTATATATTAGTACTCGAGGGTCGTCGAAGGCTACTCGGTCACTCGGATGTCTAAAGTCCGCCACTCAACTAGAAGTATGTCCTATCGAACCTAACTCAGGAGGGTACTCCATAGCCCAAACAGGTGATCAACAGGTGGACAACCAATGTTTAAAATATATTTAAAATTTATATTTTTAGCATGCACATAAGTTTCAAGCATACAAAAGGAGTTGTATCAATTTTATTTGTAGCGAAAAATATATTTTTATTTTAGAAAAAGGTGTATATGTTCTTATCAAATTTGATTTTTATAAATTTTAAAGAGTAGTTGTCCACGAGCCGATCGTGCTGTTGGGCGTAGGGCCACCAACAACCTAAGAAGATTCGGGTCAACTCCCGCTACTCATATGTCGGTGAATGATATTATCGTCCTACAGCTCACCGGGTTCTTGAATCGGATCCTGATAGGTTCCTGAATCGGATCCCGATATCGTAGGATGACATATCATTTTGTTCTATCTCCGGCCCCCCCCCCCAAAGGCCCAAAACAAAAACCGACCTACTTGCGACCTTGCTTGATGGTTTTACCTATAGCAAAATATACGTGGACACTTATGCATCGGCATAAGCATTGAAAACCGAACCAAGAAGCAAAGAAAAGAAAAGAACAAAAATGGGGTGAGAGAGAGGAGGGACCGATCCACCTAAAACATCAAAAAGAACAAAGAATGAATCAGCTCTCAAAACTTGTAACGAAAAGACCTAAAAAGGTAAGTCTCAGAATCAATCGAAAGGAGGACAGCAACTAAAGCTCTCGGCCAAGGCAACCCAAAGGATCAAGAGGCTCACGGCTAAGGCAGTAAATAGGGCCCAGAAAAGAGAGTAGAAGGTCACGGGTAAAGCCAGCAAAAAGACAAAAAAAACACACCCGAGCTCCAAACTAGCTCACGGGTAGGGGCCAAAACAAACCAATCCAAACTCCCTATAGGAAGCTCACGGTCGCAGATGGGAAGGTGGAACCCAACACAACAATCCCACGGATGGGGAACAAAGAAGAAACAGACCTATATCTACTAATCTTACGGTTAGAGGGCAGAACCGAAAACCACAAGGACAGTGTCCACCGAGCAAGGCTCATGACCAAGGTAGCAAAAGAAAAACCACCCCAGGTATTGCCAGTTTGCCTTTGATATACATAAGAGAGTGAATGGACAAACCTTCATAAATCATCCAAACCGGCTCCAATTTTCATAAAAAATATGCTCAATTTATTTTGATCACCTCACTCTATAGATAGTGCAAATACA